CTCTCCCATATCCCCTCTCCCATATCCCCTCTCCCATATCCCCTCTCGCTACCCGTCTCCCATATCCCTTTTCCCGCCCCCTCCCCGTCCAATATCTCTTATTCCCACCAATTACTCTTCTTTTGCACCCCCGCCCCCGCATATGTTTCCCCTCTTGCCCCATTTTCTTCCCACCCCACCGCATTTTCTTTCTCATAATCACTGCCTTTGTCCCACCTAGGCTGGAACCTGAACCCCAGCGCCCTCCCCTCTGATCCTCTGTTTTTTCCATGTTACAAGCTGAGGGATTAGAAATGGGGAAAATACACAGGTGCCTAGTGACCAGGAACCTGGGTTAGACCAAAGTACCTCATGGCCTGACCTTAACCAGGTCATTCCCAGTTTGTTCCATTTCACCTATTTGTTTCCCCAACTCCATTTGGGTTTTCTTATTGCTTTGAAGCGTACCGAATGTGGTATTGTAGCATCATTCAGAATAACTGTAGGAAATAACATTAGTGACACTAAAATTGCCCTTTTGTCATCTCCAGCCTCAATTGTTCTGATGCAATGCTTATCTTGCATCTTCTAAAGCTCTGCTATCTGGAGTCTGATCCTCTTCAAGCCCCCTTTTCACACATTATCTCTGTCTTTACAAATCTAAATTGTATGTCAGTTTTCTGATAGTCCCATTGGCCGAACTCTTCTGCAGTCCTGTAACCATTTAATCGCTTTCCACACGCTTTCTGTTCCAGTGAATTTGTCCAATCCATCCTCCTTTTAATCTTCTGTTGACCCATCCTGGTGGATCATTATTTATGTTTTTGGGCAGTTGTCTCTGAAAAGTGTTGTGTAAATGCAAGCTGTTGCCTTTATAATTGTATACTATATATAGCACATATCAGGTTAGGAATCAGATGCTCAAATATAAACACATATTTTCTGTGTTGTAGGTCTCTCTCAAGAATAGAGCAAATGGAGAGCTTGATTAAGCTATTGCGGTTATGTGAAGTAAATAGGGACAATAAAGAAAGACTTGCATATCTAAATCACCGTTAACCACCTCAACATGCAAAATAATGTCACAGCCAGTGAAACTCTTTCAGGAGTGTAGTTACTGACATGATGTTAAAAATGTGACAGCTAATTTGTGCACAACAAGCTCCCACAAACAGTAATAAAATAATCTGCAGGTCAGGCAGCATCCATGGAGAGAGAGCAAGCTAATGTTTCGAGTATGGATGACTCTTCATCAGTGCTGAAGTGAAGTGTGGAAGAGGCAGCATTTATGCTATTGTTGGTTACGGGGAGGGTGGAGTTGGAGTGCTGGATGTTGTTTTCTGCTGTTTGTAATTTAGTAGTTCAGAACACAAGTATTATTGAAAAAAGAGACAATTTGCTGAAGCTGTTTCAGAGATGGTAGGAACTGCAGATGCTGGAGAATCTGAGATAACAAGGTGTAGAGCTGGATGAACACAGCAGGCCAAGCAGCATCAGAGGAGCTTTACATTCGCCAACGTAAAGCAAAGAACACAGCATCCAACATTACATGTGATTCCGAAACTGAATTTCAAACAATCCTGGGTGGATCAAAAATTATGGTGTAAATCAATTTAAGATTGATAGTTGATTTCACAGTATGGCGCACTTACAGATTTTGGAAGCTACACATATTGATTCACAGTGATATGTTCTTTGCAGATGGAACATGTACCCCATTGTACCTGTTTCAACTTAACAAAACAGACAATGTTTTTAGTTCATTCTTCAGAGCAAGCCTTGACCAATGAATGTCAACTTGCCTGGTTTAAATTTAAGTAAACCTCGCCAGTTAACTGTCAATCACCATCTAACTGTTGCAATCTTCGTGGAAGTGCCTTTACACATTAAAGTCTACTTACCAACCAATTATCCTCACTGTATAAAACTTTGTTCCCCGTTAACATTGGTATTCTTGCGAAGGTCTGGATGACTGCTAGATTAAAAAAAAACTTTGATAAATATGCCTCTTTCTTTTCTGTAATACCCAGGGTAGACATTAATTAGGGCACTGGGATGGGGGCACTATAATGAGACAAAGTGACACAGCACTTTTAAAGAAAAAAGATGCTCTTTGAAAGTGATTGTACATTATGACTATTTCCCCAGATCCAAATGATTAAGAATCTTCAGTTTCATTGAGTTTTCTTCTCTCTTTCCAGGATCTTGTACAGCAATGCAGATCTTCTCCCACACTCTCTGTCAGCTCAGCATGGGTACTGGACCACCTTTTCCAACCAGACACCGAAACCAACACCTCTGAGCATTTAACACCCCTGATCTATGGCCTCACTAATGATGACCAGCTCCAGGAGCTGTCTGTTCCTCCTCCAGACCCAAGAACAAATGAAGAAACAGCTAATAATACTGTTCAGGTATTCACTTGCTTTCATTGAGATATATTGAGTTACTGGGCTGGTTATCCAGAAACCTGGATTATTAACCAAGGACAGTTGATATTTCATGAAATGTAAGGGACAACTGTGACAAAGATATGAAATTGGGTGAGTGACAGGAAACACAGATCAATGATTAATGGGGATGGGGAAGGGAGCTCGGGAATAAATAGTGAGAGGAGCGATGGGGTTGGGCAAGGTAGGTGGGATGGTGATAGGTGAGTGCAGGTCGGGAATGTGGGGATTGGTCAGTGAGGTGGGAGGAGTGGATAGGTGGAAGAGAAGATGGACAGGTTGTGTCAGGTCAAGGAGGTGGGGATGAGAGGGAGTGTTGGACATGATTTGAGGCCGGGGTGGGTGGGGAGATTTTAAACTGGTGAGATCCATGTTTAGTCCATTGGGTTGTAGGCTCCCGAGGCGGAATATGAGATGCTGCTCCTGCAGTTTGCGGTTGGTGTCATTGTGACACTAAGGAGGCCCAGAATGGACAAGTCACCCAGGGAGCGGGAGGGAGAGTTAAAATCGTTTGCGACCGGAAGGTGTTGTCGTTTGTTGCGTACAGAGCGCAGATGCTCTACAAAACTGTCTCCAAGTATCCGCTTGGTCTCACTGATGTAGAGGAGGCCACATTGGGAGCAGCGCATGCAGTAGACCAAGTTGACAGATGTGCAGGTGAACCCCTGTCTAATGTGGAAGGCTTGTTTTGTGCCTTGAATGGAGGTGATGGGGGAGGTGTAGCGGCAAGTGTAGCACTTCCTGGGAAAGGTGCCGAGTGTGGTGGGGTTAGTGGGGAGTATGGAGTGGACTAGGGAGTCACGGAGACAGGGGCCCCAAGAAAGGCAGATAGGGGTTGGGAGGGAAATATCTCTTTGGTTGTGGGGTCGGATTGTAGGTGGCGGATGTGGCGGAGAATGATATGTTGGATGCGGAGGTTGGTGGCGTGATATGTGAGGACAAGGGGCATTCTGTATTTGTTTTTGTTGTGGGGAGGGGATGTGAGGGCAGAGGTGCGGGAAATGCAAGAGATGCGGTCGAGAGCATTTTCGATTACTGACAGGGGAAGTTACGGGCTTTTGAAATAGGAGGACATCTGGGATGTGCGAGAGTGGAACACCCCATCTTGGGAGGCGGAGGAATTGGCAGTAGGGGATCACATTCTTGCAGGAAGGTGTGTGAGAGGAGCTGTAGTCCAGATAGCTGTGGGAGTGAGCTTGAAATAGCTGTTAGTTTTGAGGCGGCCACCAGAGAGGTCCAGGAAGGAGAAGGAGGGATTGGAGATGATCCAGGTGAATTTGAGTTTGGGGTGAAAGGTGCTGGTAAAGTTGATGAACTGTTCAAGCTCCTTGTGGGAGCAAGAGGCAGCACTGGTACAGTCATCAATGTAGCAGAGGAAGAGCTGGGGGATAGTGCCAGTGTAGCAGCGGAACAGGGACTGTTCCACGTATCCTACAAAGAAGCAGGCATAGCTTGGGTCCATGCGAGTGCCCATGGCCATCCCCTTAGTCTGTAGGAAGTGGGAGGAGTTAAAGGAGACGTTGTTAAGGATAAGGATGAGGATGAGTTCATCGAAAATGTCCTCAACGGCAACTCTTGTGCTTCCTGCACCTCTGCCCTCACATCCCCTCCCCCCCAATAAAAATAGACAAAATCCCCCTTGTCCTCACATATCACCCCACCAATCTCTGCATCCAACATATCATTCTCTGCCACATACGTTACCCTACAATCTGACCCTACAAGTAAAGAGACATTTCCCTCCCCACCCCTATCTGCCTTTTGTTGGGACCGCTCTCTCCGCGACTCCCTCGTCTGCTGCACACGCCCCACTAACCCCAACACTCCTGGCACCTTTTCCTGCAACCGCAGGAAGTGCTACACTTGCCCCTACACCTCCCCCCTCACCTTCATTCAAGGCACAAAACAAACCTTCCACATCAGACAGGGGTTCACCTGCACATCCATCAACTTGGTCTACTGCATCTGCTGCTCCCGACATGGCCTCCCCTACATCAGTGAGACCAAGCCGCGACTCGGAGACCGTTCTGTAGAGCATCTGTGCTCTGTTCGCGACAAACGACAACACCTTCCGATCACAAACCATTTTAATTCCCCCTCCCACTCCCTGGGTGACTTGTCCATCCTGGGCCTCCTCCAGTGTCACAATGACGCCACCCGTAAACTGCAGGAACAACACCTCATATTCCGCCTCGGGATCCTACAACCTGATAGGCTAAATATGGATTTCACCAGTTTTAAAATCTGTCCAACTCTCCCTCTCATCCCTGCCTCCTTGACCTGATACAACCTGTCCATCTTCTCTCCCACCTATCCACGCTTCCCACCTCACTGACCAATCTCCACCACCCTTACCTGCACTCACCTATGACCATCCCACCTACCTTGCCCAAGCTCACCCCTCCTCTGTATTTATTTCTGAGCTCCCTTCCTTCTCCATTTCTGAAGAAGGGTCCTGACGCGAAATGTCAACTTTCCTGCTCCTCTGATGCTGCCTGACTGCTGTGTTCCTGATACTGAGTTATCTCTGACTCCAGCATCTGAGGTTCTTGCTGTTTCTCAATGGTTAATGGGTGTTTTATGGATTGTCAGAAAATTCGAATTGGATTTACCTGCAGTGATTGTTGGGTCTTTTGCTCTTCAGATGCATTTCAATAATCCAAGCCTTGCTGTACTGGTCATAATTTCAAAAGTTGTAGATGATATTGTGAAGGGTAAGGAGGATGGTGTAGATATTTAAAATAATAGGTTGATAGAATGGGTGAGCAAATAGCAAATGAAATTTTATGCAGCAAAGTGTGAAGTGATTCATTTTGTCAGGAAAAATGCAGAGAGACAATATGAAATAGTACAGTTTCTTAAGGCAATAGAAATACGTGTAAATCGTTGGGCAGGTTGAGAGAGCTGTTGCTGAGGCATCTGTTACCTTGGGCTTTATTAATAGAGGCATTGAGTACAAAAGAAAAGAGATTCCGTTAGACAGTTTTCATCAACCTGTTCAGATATGTTAATGATACATGTCTGGAACAGGGCGGCTCAGTGGTTAGCACTGCTGCCTCACAGTGCTAGGGACCTGGGTTCAATTTCACCCTCTGGCAACTGTCTGTGTGGAGTTTGCACGTTCTTCCCGTGTCTGCATGGGTTTCTGCTGGGTTCCTCCCACAGTCCAAAGATGTGCAGGTTAGGTGGATTGGCCATGCTAAATTGCCCCATAATGTTCTGCAATGTGTCGGCTAGGTGGATTAGCCATGGGAAATGCGGGGATAAAGGTAGGGGGTGGGTCTTGGTGGGATGCTGTTCGGAGGGGTGGTGTGTACTTGATGGGCAGAATGGCCTGCTTCCACACAGCAGGGATTCTGTGATTCTAGATGGGATTGAATTGGGATTTTCTGACCCAGAAATGGGAATGTGACTGCTGTACTTACGTTAAGCTTACTTGAAGCTCTGGTTTTGACTCAGTTTGTGTATTCAGTTCAGCTCTGGGAAGGATGTGAAAGCATTAGAAAGAAAAGATTTCAAGAGTGTCCCAGAATGAGGAAATTTAGCTACGTAGATTGGAGAAGTTTATTCTGTTTTTCTTGGACAAGAGAAAGTTTTGAGAAGATTGGGTAGAGGTGCTGAAAACTATGAAAATTGTAGACAGTTGATATGAGGAAAAATCTTCAATTGGTGAAAGGGTTGAGAGTAAGAGGGCATCAATTTAAAGCAGTTGACAGAAAAAGCAATGGAGACATGAGCAAAAACAATTTGATGCAATGCATGGTTAGGATTTGGAATGCACTCTGTGTGTGTGGTGGAGGCGTAGATTCAATCATGGCATTTTAAAAAGCAGTTGGATTATTTTAAGATGAAGAATGTGCAGGACTACGGAAGAAGACCAGGGAGTGGCGTTGGGTAAGCTGTTCCTCCAGAGAGGTAGCAGAGATGTGAGGGTCTACATGGCCATCTCCAATGCTGGAACTATTCTTGATTTGAGTTGAGTTTAAACCAACAATGGCATTTGAAGAATTTGCATTCAACTAATTAAATAAATGTAAAATGAGAGGCTAGTATCACTAATGGTTACATTATAATTGACAGATTGTGGTAAGAAGCCGTGCTATTCGGCAACATACTTTTGGGAAGGGACCTGCCATCATCCATGCCCAGTATGACCTGTAAAGGACTCCAGTCACACCACAATAGCTGATTCTTCACTGTCTGGTGAAATGGTCTAGAAAGCCACTTGGTTGAATTCAAGAAAGCAGCCCACTGCCACCTTCAAGCATAATTAGAGATGGGGAGCTAAGTGCCTGGCTTTTTTGTGTTGCCAGCATTCCATAAATACATGAAAACAATTAGAGCTACCTAATACAATTCCATTTCATTAAATGCAGTTTACTGTGCTATGATTCATCATTGGACGTTTCTAGAGTGTGGTCCATAGGCAGTTTTTATTGTGTTGGTATTTAAAAATTGAGTAGCTCGGTGTTGTTTTGCATATAGTCATAGAGTCATAATCACAGAGTTGTACAGCATGGAAACAGACCCTTTGGTCCTACTCATCCATGCTGACCGGATATCCTAAATTAATTCAGAATAAAAGCCAAACAAACTGCGGATGCTGTTAATTAGGAACAAAAACAAAAGCAGAAGTTTCTGGAAAAGCTCAGCAAGCTGTTCTGAGGAAGGGTCACTGGACCCGAAATGTTGACTCTAATCTTCTCTTCATAGGTGCTGCCTGACGTGCTGAGCTTTTCCAGCTGTTTTTGTTTTGTTCCTAAATTAATTCAGTCCCATTTGCCAACATTTGGTACAGATCCCTCTAAATCCTTCTATGCATATACCTATCCAGATGTCTTTTAAATGTTCTAATTATACCAGCCTCCACCACTTCCTCTGGCAGCTCATTCCATACACGCACCACCCTCTGCGTGGAAAATGTTGCCTCTTGGGTCCCTTTTAAACCTTTCCCCTCTCACCTTAAACCTATACCCTCTAGTTTTGGACTCCCTCACCTGGGAAAAAGACCTTGTCTATCCACCCTATCCATGCTCTTTATGATTTCATAAAGTCACCTCTCGGCCTCCAACGTTCCAGGGAAAAAAGGCCCAGTCTATTCAGCCTCTCCCTATAGCTCAAACCGTCCAACCCTGGCAACATCCTCGTAAGTCTTTTCTGAACCCTTTCAAGTTTCACAGCATCCTTCCTATAGCAGGGAGACCAGAATTGAACACTACTTTGGTTAGGCTATATTCCAAATGTCCTGTACAGCTGCAACATGACCTCCCAACTCTTATACTGAATGCACTGACCAATAAAGACAAGCATATCAAATGGTGCTTTCACTATCCTGTCTACCTGTGACTCCACTTTCAAGGAACTATGAACCTGCACTCCAAGGTCTCTTTGTTCAGCAGAACTCCCTAGGACATTACCATTAAGTTTAAAAGTCCTGCCCTGATTTGCCTTTCCAAAACGCAGCACCTCTCATTTATCTAAATTAGACTCCATCTGCCACTCCTCAGCCCATCTAATCAAGACTTACTAGCCACACCTCCTGTATTCACATCTAAATCATTTATATAAATGACGAAAAGCAGTGGAGCCGGCACCGATCCTTGTGGCACACCGTTGGTCACAGGTCTCCAGTCTGAAAACCAAACCTCCACCACTACCCTGTGTCTCCGACCTTCCCCTTTCACATTGCTCCCATTAGGCCTGCCAACTCTGGACATATTGTATGAGGTTTAATTGTATATTCTCTCTCAACAACTGCCTAACCTCAAAATCACATTGCTGGTTACCCAACACATGCAGTTTCCCGACACTTGATTGGCACCACATCCATAAACGTTTAGTCTCTCCACCACCGACTCTTGGTCACAGTAGTCTGTATTATCTACAAGATGCACTGCAGAAATTCACCACCACTAGTTCTTGGGCAGTATCTTCCAAATCCATAACCATTTCTGTAGAAGAATACAGGCCGCAGATAATTGGGAGCAACGTCCTGATTTGGAAGTATATTGCTGTTCCTTCAGTGTTGCTGGGTCAAAATCCTGGAATCCTTTCCCTATTGGCATTGTGGGTCAACCTACAGCACAAGGATTGCAGTGGTTCAGGAAAGCAGCTCACCACCACCTTCTCAAGGGCAACTCAGGATGGAGAATAAATGCTGCCCCAGCCAGACACCCACATCCCATGAGTGAATAACAAAAGTTCTGGATTCTCCCACAAGAGAATACATGCTTTCCATATACACCCTGCAGAGACCCCTCAGCATCTTAAATGTTTTAGTTAAGTTACCTCTCAGTCTTCTGAACTTCAGTGAATACAGAGCTAGTTAGTCCAACCTTTCCTCAACCTGATATTCAAGGTATTAGTCTTGTAAATCTTGTGACCCCAGATGTAGTCTCTCAATGTCCTGTATAACAGAAACACAATCTCCCTACTTTTGTTTACAATTTTACTTGCAGTAAATGACAATGTTCTGTTAGCTTTCTGAATTACCTGAATACTAACCTTTTACAATTTATGCACAAGGAAATTCAGATTCCCTTGCACATCAGAGCTCTGCAGTCTCTAATCATTTTGCTCTTTTATGACCTGTTTTATTCCTCTTTCGGTTACCAGGAGGTAGTGCAAGAGCTGACTCCAGAACATACACTTTTGCTCCTTTCACCTGAAGCTACCCAGATTGAAGGCTATGTTAAAAAGTTTGAGGAAGCCCACAGAATCAAGAGCCATGTAAGTTTGCTGAAAATTAGATATTGCAAGCATTTTAACATGCTAGTGTGATGATACGATTGCTTTAAGAGGTGTATTTTGTCCTTTTTTTAATAAAGAAAGCTGGAGACTGGTGCCGAGCTGTCTTGCTCCAAAGCTAATAAAGTAAATGGCTTGAGGACTTGGGTTTTTTTAAATAAAAAGTTGAAACAATAGAACCAGCCTGAATGGGTGGGGTCAGGCTCCCACAGAACCAGGATTGTTATTTTGTTTTAGCCTTCAGTAACTTGGGTCTTGAAACTAGATGTGGCTGGTCTTATTCCTCCGTCTGTTACAGCTAAAAGCTGGGGTTCTCTTCCTGCTTCTGGAATTGCATGTGAAACAATCTATTTTACGGAATTTGTCTTTGCCAGGGATGTGTTTATGGGATATTACTATATTGGAATGCTTAATTAGTATTTAATATATTACTATGTTTAGCATTTCGATATAGTTAAGCCAATTCTTTTATTTTTATGTCTGTATTTTAATTATAGTGTATGAATAAAAAGCCTAGTAGCTTGACAAACTGGATTGCATCTGGAACACAATGCCTTACACTTTCCTTTAAAATAAAAAAAAGTAAGGGGCTAAACTACCTTCTGAATATATTTTGAGGGCTTTGGTCTGGTGTAAAACATGAGTTATTTGGAAGAATATGGTGTTTGATTTTCTATCTGCTGTGGGAATGCCGCTTATGCGTAGTATTTGATTCTGGCAGACTTTTGTGCCATGTGCAAGCAACAGACAAAAAAATAGGAGCAGAAGTAGGCCAAGGGGCCCCTCATGTTTGCTTTGTAGTTCAGACGAATCATTACAGGTGTTCTGGCTCAACTCCACTCTTACGCAAAACCCTGGATTCCCTTAGTGACCAGCAAGAAGTGGCTTGAAGGTAGAAGACAGAGGGTGGTAGTGAAGATTTGCTTTTCAGACTGGAGGCCTGTGACCAGCGGTGTGCCACAAGGGTTAGTGCTGGGTCCACTGCTTTTCATCATTTATGTAAATGATTTGGATATGAATATAGGAGGTATGGTTAGTAAGTTTGCAAAAGACACCAAAATTGGAGGTATAGTGGACAGTGAAGAAGGTTACCTCAGAGCACAATGGGACCTTGATAAGATGGATCAATGGACCGAGGAGTGGCAGATGGAGTTTAGATAAACGTGAGGTGCTACATTTTGGAAAGGCAAATCAGGGCAGGACTTTTAAACTTAATGGCAAGGTCCTGGGGAGTGTTGCTGCACAAAGAGACCTTGGAGTGCAGGATCACAGTTCCAGGTAGACGGGATAGTGAAGAAAGCATTTGGTATGCTTGCCTTTATTGGTCAGTGCGTTGAGTATAGAGTTGGGAGGTCATGTTGCGGCTGTACAGGTCATTGGTTAGGCTACTTTTGGAATACTGTGTGCAATCTGGTCTCCCTGTTAAAGGAAGGATGTTGTGATACTTGAAAGGATTCAGAAAAGATTTACAAGAATGTTGTCAGGGTTGGAGGGTTTGAGCAATAAGGAGAGGCTGAATAGGCTGGGACTGTTGTCCTTGGAGTATCAGAGGCTGAGGGGTGACCTTACAGAAGTTTATAGAATCATGAGGGGTGTGGATAGGGTAAATATCTAAATGGGGGAGTCCAAAACAAGAAGGCAGAGGTTTTTGGTGAGAGAGGAAGATTTAAAGGGACCTAAGGGGCAACATTTTTTATGCAGAGGGTGGTGCATGTATGGAATGAGCTGCCAGAGGAAATGGTGAAGGTTGGTACAATTACAACATTTCAAAGGCATCTGGATGGATTTATGAACAGGAAGGTTTTAGAAGGATAGGCCAAATGCTGGTAAATGGGACTAGATTTATTTAGGTTATCTGATTGGCATTGACGAGTTCAACCAAAGGTTCTGTTTCCCTGCTGTGCATCTGTATGCCTCTATAATTTGTCAATTTCAATCTTGAATATACTTAGCAACTAATCTTCACAGCTGTCTTGGGTAGGGAATTCCGAAAATTCCATATCAGTCTCCTCAATTACCAGGCTTAGTTTCTTGGGACTCTTCAATGCTCAGTACAAAACAGCTTTGAGAATCAGGAATAGTGCTTTGGTGAGCGACAGTAACAAATTAATGTCACGGTTGTGAATGTTTGAAGATCAAAAGATAAATAAGTATTTTATGAGTGTGAGGGTTGATCAAGTAATAGGAGAGAAGCAACTGACATTCACAATCATAGTGAAGGAGTTGATGGTCATTGGCTGACCTGGAAACAGTTGAACTGAGAAATGTTAGAAAAAATGTTAGTGATCTCTGGATTACTCCCTGTACCACGTGCCTGTGAGGGTAGAAATGGAAAGATAGGCCAGATGAATGCATGGCTGAGGAGCTGGTGTAGGGTTAGGGTTTTCAGTCCTTGGATCATTCGGATAACGTCTGGGGTAGAGGTGACCTGTACAAGAGGGATGGGTTGCATTTGAGCCGGAGGGGGTCCAAAATCCTCGCGGGGAGATTAGCTAGTGTTACTAAGGAGGGTTTAAACTAGTTTGGCAGGGGGCTGGGCCATTGAATAAGAGAGGGGCCATCAAGAAGTCAGGAGAAAATACATTAGCCATCGAGGGCAAATTTACTATTCAGGGTAGCCAGGGGCACAGTAAAGGGAGGGAAAAGGCTTCTGGTTTAAAGTACTTATTTCAACACACGAGGCCTCACTGGTAAGGCAGATGAGCTCAGCATGGATTGGCTCTGGAGAATGGGATATTATAGCTATAACAGAAACATGGCTGAGAGAAGAGCAAGATTGACAGCTCAGTGTTTCAGATACAGAAGCTACAGGCATGACAGAAGTGTAAGTAAGTGAGGAGGGGGAGTTGCCCTTTTGATAAGGGAGGACATAACAATGGTGCTTAGAAAAGATATTCTTAAGGGGTCATCAAATGAGGCCATGTGGTTAGAACTAAGAAACCAGAAGGGGATGATCACACTGTTGAGACTGTATTATTGACACCCAAATAGCCAGCGGGTACTAGAAGAGCAGATGTGTAGAGAGATTACGGATACCTGTAGGAATGATAGAGTAGTACTGGTTGGAGATTTTAATTTCCCCTGTATTGACTGAGCCACCCACAGTGTGAAAGCCCGGGTGGGGTGGAATTTGTCGCATGTGTCCAAGAAAGTTTCCTAAATCAATATGTAGAGAGCCCTACTCAGGAGGGTGCATCTCTGGACGTCCTCTTAGGAAACAAGGTTGGGCAAGTGACTGAAATGTCAGTTGGAGAGCACTTTGGTCCTGTGACCATAAAACTCTCTTACTTTTAACATCATTATGGAAAATGATAGGGCAGGTCTACAGGTTAAGGTGCTAAACTGGAGCAGGGACAATTTTGGGGCCATTAGGCAGGATCTAGCAGAGGTCGATTGGGTGAGTCTGTTTGAAGGAAAAGGAACAAGTGGCAATTGGGAGGCTTTAAAAGTGTAATATCAAGAGTCCAGGGACAGTATCACCCTGTTTAGGTGAAGGGAAAAACTGGCTGGTTTAGGGATCCCTGGCTATCGAGGGATATTGAGGCCCTGGTTAGGAAAAATAAGGAGGCATACATTGAGTTTAAGCTATTGGGCCTTAGTAATGCCTTTGACAAGGTCCTGTGCAACAGTCTCGTCATGAAATTTAGGTTGCATGGGATCCAAGGAGAGCTAGCTAGTTGGATTCAAAATTGGCTCGATGGTAGGAAGCAGAGTGTGATGGTTGAAGGTTGTTTCTCGGACTGGACACCTGTGACTAGTGATGTACCACAGGGGTCTGTGCTGGGACCTTTGTTATTTGCTATTTATATAAATGATCTGGATGTGAATGTACGAGGCATGATTAGTAAGTTTGCTGATGATACAAAATTAGGAGGTACCGTTGATGGCGAAGGTTATCAAAAATTACAGAGGGATCTTGATCAGATGGGGAAGTGGACTGAGAATTGACAAATGCAATTTAATATAGGTAAGTATGAGGTGTTGCGCTTTGGTAAGTCAAACCAAGGTAGGACTTGTACAGTAAATGGTAAAGTCCTGAACAGTGTTGTGGAACTGAGGGACCTAGGAGTATAAGTATGTAGTTTGTTGAAAGCGGCCTCACAGGTGGACAGGGTGGTGAAGAAGGCTTTTAGCATGCTGGCCTTTATCGGTCGAGGCATTGAGTATAGGAGTTGGGACGTTATGTTACAGTTGTATAAGTCGTTGGTGAGGCCGCACTTGGAGTATTTTGTGCAGTTTTGGTCACCCTGTTATAGGAAAGACATAGTTCAACTGGAAGGTGTGCAAAGAAGATCTATGAGGATGTTGCCAGGACTAGTAGGCCTGAGTTATAGGGAGAGGTTGGCCAGGATAGGATTTTATTCCTTGGAACGTAGGAGAATATGGGGTGATCTTATTGAGGTGTATAAAATCACAAGGGTCACGGATAGGATGAATTAGACCCTATATACACACCACTGCAAAGAAAAACTGGAAATG